CGTTTCCGTGCGTCACGAAAGCGACTGTTCATTTTCAAAGTACTATCAAGACTTTGATCGTCTGAATAACTTGGAAAATTTCCTGATATTTCGTAAACACGCACTCCTACGGTGTACCAAGCACTGACGTCAGCCAAAAAATTCGTGTAAAATAATTGAAAAATTAAGTCGTTGCTCGAGATCGTATCGGAACGCTCTTCCTTATCAAAAAAAAATCTGCTTTCATAGCCTAAAAGGGATAACGGTCGGCTATTTGTCATTTAGATGCCCTCTTCCAAGTTTTTGAACTTACTTCAAATCCAGGCTCTCGGGTTGAGCTGATTCGAATTTTTTTTCTTTTCTCTGAAACAAAGTACGAAAAATGGTCTTTTGATGAATTGTAACGTTTGGGTATTTTGTAAAGGCTGTTGGAAATTTGAATAGTGTAGTTTCCAAAAAAGTGCACCGCCGTGATTTGGGCTCCAATATTACTTTGTGAAATCATTTGTTTTTTATTGGCTCCTTTCACTCCTATGATGCAATACCTTCAAACTAATAAGCAAGCTGTCGAGCCGAAATAGGGTCTGTTATGAAGATTCGATATTAAGTTCAAGGGCATTCCCTGTGGGTAAACATTCCAAATTCATGTAGAGAACGACCCCGCTTCGTGCCATTCACGTGGTATTTCGGACTCCGTGCTCATCTCGGGAATTCTGCTTCTGCTCAGGGAAGGCACTTCGCCCGATCTCTGGTGCCTCGTTGTTTGCAATGTTATGTCGCTCAGCTGATCGAGCTTGGCGGCCACCCAGGGTGGAGGCACGAGACGGTGCAGCCGTTGCTGCCCACACGTGATTCTCCAACTCAAACGAAAACATGTTTACAACCTCTGGGCTGCGAGCTATATATAAAGAACCCTGGTGCTGCTCGCTCTAAGCGCTAATTCTCAGTGCTCTGTATCTTATCAATCGCCAATGGGAGTGAGTTTGAATTGCTGTGAACTTATTAATCAATTCTAGTAGTTGTGTGCACCCTTTTTGGGCATATAACACTTAGATGCTGGAAGAAGACTTAGTCCGTGTCGAAGTCCATCTTCAGGATCTCAACAAACCAGCTACTACCTCAACGTCCGGTGTGACCGGCGGGCTAATTGGAGCCATTCGCAGGACATCCGTATGTTTTCGAAATTATTTTTCTTCATAGGTGGGAGGTCCCAACTACATTGGGGGCGAGCCAGCAGTCAAACTAGGATTGCGTGTTGGCATAGAGTTAGTTGCGGGGCCATAACTACTCTTCCAAGGCCATCAAAAGCAGTTGTTCCCTATCGAATGAGCACGATGGCAGCAACAAAACATTACGTCTTTTCGGAAGGCCGCTACGGTGTTATCGGGGAAGATCTCCGGTGATTTCCCTTTGGCGGCGCTTTGAATGCTTCGTCTGGACCTCTTGGGGAGGGTTCAAGTCGGGGGGAGTAAATCGAGCGAGCGAACACAAGGACTAATCGCAACTTTTTTTTCAGGATGCCTTTACCAATACCCTGCATCTAATAGCCGCTCCTACACAAGAAGTGAGACAGGGAGAAATCGTTCTCGGGAAAACCATGGAAATTCTAACTGATGGTGTATGCCTTCAGTCAGAGGTACCCCCATTGCCAGTCGCTGAAACGCCACTGTTTCATGGTCCGCAGAATGTAAGTTACTGTTAATTTGATTTCATTTTCAAGCAGATTCTACAGTTGGAGTGAATCGTCGTTTTCAGAAGGAGCGAAGGATGTCCGACGTTGAACATCTGTGGAAAAGTGCTGAAAAAATTCATGGATTTTGATCAACGGGACGCGATTGAATGTACTTAATGTACCTACAAGTATTACTGTACAGCTGTATAATACCTGTATTAGTTGGCTTTATTTCTAACCATTATTCACCTTGATTTGCCCTATCCTTTCTTGTCATTGAGTGTGCTCACTAGTCGTACTGGAAACCGTAGAATCGGAGTTTTATGTGATTTGATTGCTTTGATTTTTGTGTGCTATTACAAATATAATTATTTTAAATACATGTATTTGAATTACAATCATATTTATAGTACGATAAAGACTTGTTTCTGATTACATTATCGCATTATGACGGGGTGATTTGGATTAACTCAAATGGAGCGAAAATAACAACGTGAGGTAGTAAAAGTAAATGGGTTTTATTGTGGAATGTCAACAACTCAAAGATGAAGGCCTGTTTGTAGTCTGGGAAAATGTTAAGTAGACGGCAAGATGGCTAAGGAAGGTGTATGAAAAAAGGACTTGAAACCGCGGCGAGCATAAGAGTTCACAAGTCACGGGGCAAAAAGAAGCCACCTGGAAAGTATAGTAATTCTTGTTCCTTCGGTAAGCATGAACGGTGTCCTCCAATGAACGGCTAAAAAGTACCGAGTGCTCCATTGAATGGTTGGGGAGTGCAGACTGTTTTAGGAAACCAGTGGACTCACAGAAGTTCCTTCAGTGGATGTGAGTACGCTCCTTATTTATATAGAGCCTCTACTGATGTAAGACATAAAATAAATGGGTCCGAATTTCGCGACTCAGCAAAAGCTGGGCATGGTCTACCGAGAATAGGGCATGGTCTTTTTATCTCGAGAATCCCCTCGAGATTTCTGAGCCGGGACTCAACTTGAATATATTTGAATCTGAGCAACCAAGAAAAGATGAGACTGTAAGCTGGAGTTAAGCGCATGAATGATGAAGGGACAGCAGAAGAATCGATTTCTTAAGCATCTTTATAGAGTTCCTTGACGAAAATTGTTCAGCATTCAGATGGTAGGCCTGAAAAAACAGGTAGGGTTGCAGAGGTCCACCGTTTCGATATCAGGAAGCTAATCTATGAATCCATGAAAAATCAGACATTATTACCATGATTAAGTCCCCAACTTCTCTATTGTTTCACCCATCACATCACTGCTTGTGTTGATAGAATTCTTGAAGCATGAGGGGTTCCTAGGTGGAACTTCTTATTAGTTCGAGGGCCCAACGTTCCCTATACGTAACCGTCTCTTCCACGAGGGGTTCTGTACAAAATCCACCGAACGTTTGGCACGACAACGGATTTGGTCTGGTCGGGCTTTGACGGTGGAATCTTCATGAGTTCTCCATATGATAGGTAGTTTTCGAAAGAGATTTGGACTCGTTGTCGCTTTGCTGGAAGGAATTAAAAGCTTGTTAGACGTTTTGGAAACTCAGATTACGCAAAGAATTCTAAATTGTGTTTAGGCTTCTGAAGAAGACGTTTACATGGAAAGGTTAAGTCATTAAATTGATAAGACTATTCCACTCAATCAAGAATATTATCACAGCGAACTACAGAATCCACTTTGAGTCCAATTCGCTGTTTATTTCAGTCAGTCGTGTTTTTGAATTTTACGTGAGCTGTCTGCATTGGGTTCAGCCAGGTGAATTGATGCGCAATATTGTGATATGTGGATTATTCCCGAATCATATAGGACCAGATTTGCTTGAACTCTCAAACTCATTTTGTCCGAAACAACTGTTAGTTGAGCTAACCTTTCAAACAATTAAAAGTGATTAGAAAATGCAATTTATCATGGCGTTCTGAGGAAAAAAATTGAAATAAATCGTTAAATCAGAGCCAGAAAATCGATAAAGACCAGTGATCAAATTTCTGTGTGTGAAAGGAAAACATAGACATTGCCATGAACAATACGAACCTTCTCATCCTTCCCATTTACACCTCAAGTAGTGGAGATGGGCGTAAATGGGTTAGCGGCAAACAAGGCCTCTACCGTACGAGGGCTCCGCTGTTTGACTCCTGAACTGGTCGTTCCCGCTGAATAAGCCTTCCTTTACTCACAGTACGTTCATGTGGTCCCAAACTTGTCCGGGTACTTGGTAACCCTGAGTTATGCATTCGATGGCCTCACAAGTATTGCAAAGTTGTATGCGTCTCCAGACGCCTACACAATTCTGAACATGAATCGAATTCGTGGGTGCATCCCAGAAAGCCAGTACAAAGAGGAAAACCCTGTATCTCTTCCTTTTTTCATGTGTTGTTCATTTTATTTCTTTGTAATCTGTGATGTTCACGTAAAGATATCCGATGATGTTTTCACATACATTCAAGCCAACTGCTTGTTTCCGGGCCCCCTCTGTCGCGGTGTACTTGTTGTTGCTGCCGATACCTCTGCCGTTGTTTATACGAGGAATGATTCAAAAAACTATCAACAAATAAACGAGGCAGTTACGAGGCTACCAAACAGAACTTTTTATAACTTCTGTAACCCAAATTCGGAGAAATCCATACCATAACCCAGAGTTGCAGCGAGTCCCAAAGTTAGACTTATAGCAATGAAGATAGTGATATCTCAAAATTTCGGCGACCCCTTTTTATCTCTTCCGTCCTTTATATAGGCGAAAAAAAAACGAAGATAGATGAAAAGCGCAATTAGGAAATAGTTAACTACAATACTTGTTTGTCTACAGAAAATCAGCCAACTTATGAAGAATAAGGCAACGGGATAGTTCAGTAGCCTTATGCGATGTGCTCCAGCTCTCAAAGCCTACTTACAGTCGTGCTGGAGATGGCATTAATTCTGATATCCCATAGAAGGCTTCCCGGGGCAGGCAAATCAAAAGGTGAACGCTTTTGTTCTGGCATGGGCATTGTATCTGTTAGGAGACTCTGTAAGGAAAAGTTTGAACAGCAGTACTTATTTGGATTTCGGAGCGGCACCATATTTGTGAATGACAGCTACCCTGATAATCCCATTTACGTCATCATTACCACTCAACCCTATTCAATTTGAAGAACTGAAATCTCGATTTTTTCGCATTCACTATAAGCCAAATAGCCAAAACATCGCTACAATTCTGGAAGGAATTCGAAAGACGCCAAAGACTTAAGAAGTTCCAAGCCACTTGAAAGAGACAGTAACTCAAAAGTTTGTTTTCAAAATATTACACGACTTTCATCAAACTTTTTAATAATAATAATGCTTTTTAATAATAATAATAATAATAATAATAATAATAATAATAATAATGTAATGCTATCTTGCTGATTTTACTCAGTGAATAGGATCCCAAGCCTGCATCTTTAGACTAAGTTAGTGCGTTTCAGATTCGATAATTTATTTGTTTATTTATTTATTCAAAATACACACAAAGGTGCGCTTTAGTAACAAACAAAGAAACGAAACCAGTTACACACTTAAACAGCAAAAAAGTCAAAAAAACGCCAGTAGAAAAAACCAAACCCATAAGTGGATACTCTCCAGGCTATACGTGTCTAGAAATCCTGTATGCCTAGCAAAGTAAGATGGTCTAACTTCCTCAATTCCGCTTTGAAAGCATCGGTGTTTCGCGCCTTTTGCAGGTCTAATGGTAACTGTTGAGGCCACCTCGCTCCTCGGAAGTAAAGCGTATGAAATACACACGCCCGATGATTTCTGTTCAGTTTAGGGCATTGTAGACAATTTGCTGAAGTTTGAATCTTTCATCCACGAGATACGCAAACTCCGAGCCAAAGGATCATTTTTACGCAGCTCTGGGAGATATTTCCATACCGGGAGGGTTCTTCCCTTTCCAAGTACTGTATAGGCTCTGATCGGCAGCAAAGCCCTGATAAATAACCAGTACACTGAGCGCTGATTACTTCACAGATTTCGTCACACTGTCTGGTCGCCTACCGTTCATTGTGTCTTAACTCACAAAGTTTTCATATGAAAAACACAAAACACTACTCCCTCTAATTAATGTTGTTTGTGAAGTTCACGGTGATTAATAGGCACGTGATGGATAGAAAGTGCATTCTTCAGTGATGTCCTTGAAGTGTTGAAGCGAATTCCGTGAAATCAGGGGTTGCTAGGTGATCAGTAGGTGATTTTCGGTACTTATTTTCCCAGATGCCAGCTGATAGTTCGGCGCTACCGGGCCTTACCCTAATTTTCCCAGATGCCAGCTGATAGTTTGGCACTACTTGGCCCTACCCTACTTTCGACTCGTTATGGCATGGAAGAGTTTGTTGTGCAAACATTAATAACTTGAATGTTTATTGGGAAGTGTTAGTGAATCGATGCTGATCTTGCAGTCGTTATTTTTGTCAATTTTTGAAATGAAGTAGAAAATCTGAAAGAAATTTGTTTTCACCCAGAACAGTTGAGAAAAATAAAAGATCTTAGCTTACCTAAGCTTTAGCTGTTTCTAAAGAGCTCTCGATTTGTGGTTGAGCGACATTACCTTGAGCCTGAAATAACCAGAAAGGTCAGAAAAATGCCAACATTCTCTTTTTCAACACGTCTCAAATTCAGTGACCGCTAAAAACAATATCTCTTAGGGAGACTCATGAAAGCTAAGTTTTCAAGCCCTTCTTGGACCTGAAGAAGTATATCTCATATTTTTCGTAAGCAATGTGTAGCTTTTCCAAAGGGTTATCCTACCTAAAGTAGGGTGTGGTGCAGTAGGAACGAAACTGTCGCGTCGCTGCGAAAGAGGCGCCGCGCGCGAAGGAATGTAGCAGAATGCAGCGGCAGGTAAGAAATACAGAAACAAAAGAACTAATATTAGAATAATGCCAAAAATACTGATGGCACATCGATTGGGTGGTCCTAAGCACGCCAGCACCGTAATAAGAAGCAAATGGTCTGCAATTGCCGCGCGCGCGGCGAATCGATAACACAAGACCGTTCCTACCGTTTCCTCTCCCCCATTTCCTACATATTGCTACCTACAAATTCCCGGGTACTGCACGCCAGCTCCAACAAATAATCGCTCTCGGTACAATCTTTGAGCCAAATCATATTACTACATTTTATAGGCGGTGCTGTCTGTGAATGCAATGGAACAGCATCTTTTGAGTAGAGCGGAAGACCGTACAGACGGGAAGACTCAGCTTTGAGTGGTGAAATTCGGCAGTTTTATGTTCGAGATCAGTGAACTCCACTACTTTAGTGTAGTTGTGAAGAAAACCTAAGAGGCCGTACGGAGTCTGGCTGGATTTATCGCTTCTCCCAGTGCATCGCGTCGTAGATGAATGTAACACAAAATGACCATCATTTGGTTAGATTGCCTAATTACTTTCTCAAGGAAGAGTTCCAATAACCGCGACTATGACCAAAATGAACATGCAGCGAAGCCTTGCAGCAGAAAACGGGGAATCGAATTGGTTTGATAGCAACCAGAGCGGAGGCATGACAATTCAAGACAAATGTGGTATCTACTGCAACGAACAAACTTGGCTGTCATGGTCATAGCAATTTGGTGCCGTTTGGCCTACTTCAAAGGACGTCGTCGCGCGGTGGTCTGGCCGCGAAGGCACCGTAGTTGGCAGAGAGCAATGGAACGCCACGTGGCAATGGCGCCGACTCTGGCTTTACCACTGTTCCACATGTACTTGCCTAGCTGGTATACTCCGCGAAAGGAACTTCAGCGAGTGTAAATGGCGTCACCGTGGAATGGACCGTGGATGGCAGAGATTCGCAGGAAAATGGACTTGGATGCTCTTCATCTAGCTTGCCCATAAACCGAGCCCAATTGTAGGACTTTTGTATTATTGTATTGCTTTTATTTCATTCCTGGTATTCTTCGTGGCTATTGATTCGCTTTTTCCATGTTCTTATTGGGTTGTCCGAAAAGTTCCCGCCGATTTTTGATTCAACTTTGAATGAAAATTCCTAGAAGAAGAAATCCATTGATTGAACAATATATCCTCCATTCTGTTTAGTAAGGATTCACCATCTCCCTGTAGGTTCCAGTTCCCCTCTTCCGTGGAAGGTTAAAACCGAAAAACCCACTCAGGTGCTTTTTGCAGTCCTCCAGCGAATTGAACGATTTTCCATTCAAGGAATTTTGCAGAAACCCAAACAAGCGGTATTCTGATGGTGCTATGTCTGGGCTATGGTGTGGTAAGACATCCCACCCGAGCTTTAGCAACTTTTGACGAGTGGCCTAAAATACGTGTGGTCTGGAGGTACCCTGTTGGAA